ATTTACCACAGACAAAAGGTCAGGTTAAAAGAAGAGTGTGCATAGTATTCATTCAAATTAGTAAACGAGTTCTGTTATGTATGACAATTGATTAAAAATAATGGGGGGAAAAAAGCCTTCATCACTCTTTCAAACTTAGAAAACAGGGCAGATCCTGCTCCTAACTAACAGAATGAGAACAAACCTTTTTGTTAATTAGAGCTGATCTGTTCCCTGGTCTATACTGTGTTAGTGACAGACACAGTACAGAGAGCAGTTCAGCTGGAGCTGTGTGTTTCTGGAATCAGTACTATAGCATCTATGAATGGAACATGATCTCTGAATGGTGGAAGGGCAGATGATTAATGACTATTGTCCACTTCATTTACAGATCCTGTGTCATTCATAGAAACTGTAATACAGCTTCTATAAATGGTGGATTGGGCAGGAAAGGGCAGGCATAGTCAAACTCTTCTGATGGGATCTACTGACAAATAGTTGTATTAACCTCCACCAAACCAGTAGATTATGGTGGGATACAGCAATATTACTATTGAAAGAAGAAGAATCTGGACAAGGAATACATCACACTAATCCTCCTCTCTTGGGTCCTCTGCCGATACTCCTGGTCCCTCTCTTCTGCCTAGTGCCCTCATAACAAGCTCTGTCAATTCACACATGGAGCACTGCTTGGCTCCGCTTCACACTCTCTCCTCATTGGCTCACTGGCTGTGATTGACAGTAGCGGGAGCCAATGGATACCGATTCTGTATTAGTCAATGAGGAGGGAGAGACTCAGGGGAGCCGAGGCTCTTATGCACTTTGCTGGATCAAGATTGGGCTCAGGAAAGAGTGCGCTGAGGGGAGGGGCTGCTGCCCACAGAAGGAGATTTATCTTCATGCATAGAATGCATGAAGGTAAAAATCCTTGAGCCTTTACACCATTTTAATGTAGTAATATATGGTGAATCTACAGGTAATAGGCAACACTTAGCCCAAATTGCACAGCTGTGCGAACAACGCCTGAGAAGCATCTAGCCCTTATCCAATCAGCTGTCATTACTTTTATCAGCTTGGGTGTCATGGGTTTGATGAAACCATAACTGGCAGTGTCGGTTTGGGCAGGTATTCTAGAATGGATTCAAATGATGCAATCAGCAGAAGCATCATCGGAGGGGGGGGGGGAGTAAAATTGCACAATCAGCTTGAGCAGCTCCAAGATAAATCATACTCCTGAATATCAACACTTTAGAGAAAGCTGCTGCAACATCTATCATTCTTTGCCTGATTTAAGGAGGTTTCTGAATGAAAATATTTTTTTTGTTGATATTCAATAATTATTTAATCAAATCTCCTAGGCAAATCTGACTTTGGTATAAAGGATGTGATTGTCTCTTTTTGTCTGTCTTCTTTTGATCGGGTTTTGACTAATATTTTCTATACTTTAGAAGATGTGAACTCCAGGCATGTAGGAAAAACATACATTCATGTAGCAATACATTTATTGTAGCAATATATTTATTAAACAAATAAAATAAAGGGTATGCAAAGCCAATACTTTTTCTTATGATTTTATATTTTAGACTATAAAGCAAATTTAAAAAAACGCATTTATGCATCAATGTATTTATTTAAAAAATTTGTGCAAATGTAAAAGCACTAGTTACACTGTCACACTGTTGGGTTCTTATTGCTGCCCCTACTGGAGAAATTCACTATCACAATTGGTCCCCGTTGACCAGAAAGTGGTCAAAATCCAAAATCCTACATTTCTGAGTTGTCAGCAGAAGAGGGATTAAGAGGATTGTTTGTTGTTGTTGTTGGTACTCAATATTTACTGAATCAAATGTTCTGAATTTGGTATATAGGATAAAGTTATCACTTTTTGGTGTGTTTTTAAATCAGGTTTTAACCTATATTTTTTATGATTTTATACTTTAGAAAATAAAAAAGATACATATTCATGCCCTAATATATTGTTCTAAACTTGTGTAAATTTGGGAAGGGTTAGATCCTATGTCAGGTTTTTATTGGTGTACTTGCTGAGGAAATTCACCATCACTATTGGTCCTGGTGACCAGGAGTAGAGCGAGTTGAGGGATGACTTCATCATTATTCTGCTGGTTCATCATCAAATCAGCAGACAGAGACCAAGGTGTGCTTATGCAGGGCAAGTCAAGAATCTTGCTACACTGGCAGTGGTGCCTGAATTACTAGACTGGAAGAACAAAATAAATCCTTTGCCATCTAAAGCAGTTGCAATATACAATATGTACAGTACTTCATCTGTTTATTTTGCTGCTTGTTTCAGTTAGATGGAAAATGTCCAACTACATGTAAAACAGACCCTAACATCTCTCATGATTGTCAGCATAACTGAGCCTTACCCAAATAAGTAACATATAAAACATGGATGCAGTTCCTCCTACCCATTCCCATGTTTTACCAAGAAAAAAATTTAAGTCTATATAATCCTAAAATTAAAAAAAAAAACTGCAGAGGGTTCAGCCCAACAAACACAACCTTTCCTTGCTCAATTATTGCATTTTCATTGCATGGGTGACACCATGTGTTCACTGCTTTAAGACAACAGGGTGTTGTCACCCTGCAGTGCTCACCACTGTGGAATAAATACACACAGATGTGTTTATGCTCTATGAGCCTGCTGTGATTCCCATTTCACAGATAATGTCATGTTATTTATAAAAGGTTTTCAAGAGAACAACGATGCCTTTTCCTTCCCTTGTTTGACAATGGTCCGAAACAATCAAAAACATTGCAAAATAGTGCTGGTTCACATATACTTTTAGGAATAATTCTTAAAAAAAACCATTTTGAATAACTTTCTCCTTTTAACAAAATTCAGTTGCTATTTCAGATGAATATAAATGATGTGTGTAAAAAACACTATTTTCTAGAGTCTGGACCCACAAGGTGAAAACAATCACTGGGATAATGAAAAGAAGAATGACCATTTTAGTCTTCCGGATTAGCAAAATTGGTTGACTATTCTGTGAAATTTAGACAAATGGGGGTTTATTTACTAAAGCTGGAGAGTCCCAAAATCAGACTCCCTTCTGCATAGAAACCAATCAGCTTCCAGGTTTCATTGCCAAAGCTTCACTGAACAAGCTGAGGTTAGAAGCTGATTGGTTTCTATGCAGAAGGGAGTCTGATTTTGGACTCTCCAGCTTTAGTAAATAAACCCCATGGAGTCAATGGGGAATGTAAAGTATGGTGGTTTAAGGTTGTTGTTAAGGCTGTTAAAGGCTTTGAATGGTCCAGGAGTATTGCTTGGGCGATTTAGACAATAGGTGTCAAAATGTTGTAAAAATAACATATTTTTAAATTGAGTATTCTACCATGATTTGATGTTATATAGCATACAAAAAAGTTATGCACTGCTGTTGAATACTCCATTGCTATAATACCCGTTTATTGTTCCAGAAATCAGTAGATAACATCCTATGCTCTCATGACAATGAACTCTGTACTGTACGATGAGGAGACTGGAGTGCAACCATGGCCTGCCTCAGCTGATTTGGACTTGTCACAGCACTGGCAGACCCTGATGGAATAAGGAATAGGGTAAGTATTTCTTGTTATTCCACTTCTCCTCAACATAACAAGCCTTTTACCCTTGCAGTGTATGTGTGTGTGTCTGGAATTGGACCTCATGTACAAGGGACATTCTTTCTCCTCATAATGAAGAATGGGGTTTAGATAATATACTAATAATTATATATGATAACTATAATTATAGTCCACACGTTGTGGTGAAGAAACCATGTAAAGCAGGGCTCTGCTATCTACATCTATTATTCCAGCAAGGATATAAACAGGGACTCCTACATTTATTAAAATTTTTGCAACTATTTGCATCTACCAAGGGTGGATGGGCCCCAATCACATGTGCCTCAATAGGGTTGTACTGCATGAATTTATATTCATATTACTGGGGTATATCCCCCCCTTTATGTAATTTTTTACCCACATTGCCTTGAATAGGCTAAGGGTTATGCCTCTCTCCACATGGCAACTGTATTACCTATTATGCATAGCATGTCATAATTATATTTTTTGAAATACCTCCTACAGTTAGTGTAATCAATGTGCGGTGCTGCAAATGCTTTAGACAAGGTTTGTCATTGTCTCTGCAGCACATATATATCCAGACCAGTCTTGGTGTGGTTTTAAATGGTTTTAGGTCTGTGTGTATTGTCTCATACTGAGGTGATGGTGAACCAGGGTGATTGCCCTATTGTCTATCATTAAAGTTTAATAAAGCATAATTTTTTGGAAATTTTTCCGAGTATCGCATTCTGTCCATAATGTAGCCGCTTTCTTGTGAATCTCTTTTCACAATTTCTTTGTTGTTTTACATTCTTTCTCCTCCCCTGGATGTATTTGCCCCAGCAGAAAAAAAACAGCTTAACCTCCCTAGCAGTTTGATTATGTCAGTATTTCTGTGCTCAAAGCAGTACATTTTTTCATGGAAATATGTTGTTTTTTTATTATAGGCCTGTGATTCTTAGGAATAACTCACTGAAATCTGTCCGAACAAGAGTCTAGTAAACATCCCGGGTATAATAAAACTTGAAACACAAAAGCATAAATTATAATATACTAAATAATCATACAAAATAATAATTATACACTTAATTCTATAATGTAATCAAACCAAAAACACTGAAATTTGAAATATAGAGCGCCAAGTTCGCACATCGCTGAGTTCAGTCGCAAAATCGCTTTCAGTGTCTGATGACGAATTTCCCCACGAATCGTTATCACTAAATTCTGCAAGTGGTTCTAATTTACTATCACTGTTCTCTAGCTGGTCTAAAATCGCTTTTGACCTAAAGGGACACTTTTTGGATGCCATGGACGTTTCTCAGTTTGCAGGCAGAAAGAACAGTAAAAATGCAGGCAGGGCACAGGACAAATCACTCGGGACAAAAGGTATGTGAAATGGTTTGATACAGTAATGTTATACTATCAGATTTTAGTGTATTGAGTGAATGTCACATTTTTACATTTTTGAATTTCCCGCTGGTTCCATCATCCCCGTACGTCCCGTACGTACCGACGCTCGCAGGGAACAGAACCCGGAAGACGGATGTTGGCATCGGCCAGAGGAAATGGCCAGGGGCGCTGCAGGGGGAACATCGCGGGAGCGCAGACAAGGTAAGTGAAACAAGGATCTCGGAGCAACGCTGCAGGGTATTCCCGAGTGTAGCTTGGGGTTACTGATTTTGGTACTGAAACTTTCCCCAGAGCTACACTCGGAAATACCGCCAGAGGTGTTAAAAAGGCACCCATGGCTGCATTTTGGGCCTACTGGAGCAGGATATTGGGTCTATTCCTAATAATGTTTGCGATGAGATTCTTTGTGCTCTCCCCCTTTTTTTCTCAATCCCCAGATTTTTATACTTCATAGGGTCTATAAGACCCCTGAATTTCTGTGTGCTATTGGCCTAAGAGCTGATTCAGCCTAGATGCGGCAATTCGGGGTCCTTAATACATTTATTATGGCGCTGCCTAAACTCCAGAGGTACTGGAGGTTGTGTAGGCACACTAAATGGGCTTTTACATCTGAGACTAACAGTGGATTCACTTATGTGCCTATTGGGGTACATCAGTTTTTCTTTGCTTAAGCCATCTGTGTGGATTACTACCATATGTGCTCTCTTTGTGGCTCGTAGACAAATTGACCTTAAAGGAGAAGTAAGCGCCAAAACTCTTTTGGCTGTACTTCTGCTGTGGTTCACAGGAGTGCAGTTCATTCTGCACTCTTGTGACCTTTTTTCAGCAGGCTGAAGCCCACAGTCGGCTGACATCACTCAGCCGGTCCAGGCTGGGGAAAGATTCTGACTTTAAAGATGGGATCCACTCCAGAGTCTGGAGCTCCACCTGGCTCAGCATTTCAGTGAGCTGCTGAGAGGCTGAGCCAGCAGTTCTCTCCACCTCCACAGGCCAGTGCTCCAGTGAGTGCTGGGGGGGGGGGGGGGGGGCAGGGCAGACAGTGGTGAATGACCATCACTGCTCTCTGTTCACAGTGGTGGTGAGAACTCAGCGATCAGCAGTCATGTGATCTCTGAGTTCTCACACTTAGAGCCGGCGGGGGGGGGGGACAGATGCAGAGGTAAAGTGAGCCAGAAGTTCAGCCCCCTCCTCCCTCCTGCAGTCTCCTGGAAAGTTTCACAGGTCCCAGGAGACTGCCGGACCAATTAGGAAGCGCAGTGCGACTCGCTTATGCGCAGTGGGCACCAGGCTGTGAAGCCACAAGTTGTCACAGCCTGGTGCCCACAGTTGAGATGCCGGCGCCGTGGAGGAAAGAAGGGGAGAAGGGACGGCGTGAGTGAAACATCGCTGGATTCCAGGACAGGTAAGTGTGTGTTTATTAAAAGTCAGCAGCTACAGTTTTTGTAGCTGCTGACTTTTAATAAACACAAAAATGGCTGGAACTCCATATAAAGCAATCACATTCAAAATCATGTTAAATAGGAGTCAGTACACACCTGCCATCATTTAAAGTGCCTTTGATTAACCCCAAATAAAGTTCAGCTGATCTAGTAGTAGGTCTTTCCTGACATTTTTGTAGTCACATCATACAGCAACAGCCATGGTCCGAAGCATCATAGGGATCTCATTGTTAAAAGGTATCAGTCAATAGAAGGATACAAAAGAATTTCCAAGGCATTAGATATACCATGGAACACAGTGAAGACAGTCATCATCAAGTGGAGAAAATATGGCGCAACAGTGGCATTACCAAGAACTGGACATCCCTCCAAAATTGTTGAAAAGACGAGAAGAAAACTGGTCTGGGAGGCTGCCAAGAGGCCTATAGCAACATTAAAGGAGCTGCAAGAATATCTGGCAAGTACTGGCTGTGTGCTACATGTGACAACAATCTCCCGTATTCTTCATATGTCTGGGTTATGGGGTAGAGTGGCAAGACAGAAGCCTTTTCTTACGAAGAAAAACTTCCAAGCCTGGCTAAATTTTACAAAAACACATCTGAAGCCTCCCAAAAGCATGTGGGAAAATGTGTTATGGTCTGATGAAACCAAGGTTGAACATTTTGGCCATCATTCCAAAAGATATGTTTGGTGCAAAAACAACACTGCACATCACCAAAAAAACACCACACCTACAGTGAAGCATGGTGGTGGCAGCATCATGCTTTGGGGATGTTTTTCTTCATCTGGAACAGGGGCCTTAGTCAAGGTAGAGGGAATTATGAGCAGTTCCAAATACCAGTCAATATTGGCACAAAACCTTCAGGCTTCTGCTAGAAAGCTGAACATGAAGAGGAACTTTATCTTTCAGCATGACAACAACCCAAAGCATACATTCAAATCAACAAAGGAATGGCTTCACCAGAAGAAGATCAATGTTTTGGAATGGCCCAGCCAGAGCCCAGACTTGAATCTGATTGAAAATCTGTGGGTTGATCTGAAGAGGGCTGTGCACAGGAGATGCCCTCGCAATCTCACAGATTTGGAGTGTTTTTGCAAGGAAGAGTGGGCAAATATTGCCAAGTCAAGATGTGCCATGCTGATAGACTCATACCCAAAAAGACTGAGTGCTGTAATAAAATCAAAAGGTGCTTCAACAAAGTATTAGTTTAAGGGTGCGCACACTTATGCAACCATATTATTTTACTTTTTTATTTTTACTTCCCTTCACCTAAAAGATTTCAGTTTAATGTTCAACTGAGTTGTACAGGTTATAGGTTACATTAAAGGCAAAAAAGTTCTGAAATTATTTATCTTTGTCTCATTTTTTTACATCACAGAAACCTGACATTTTAACAGGGGTGTGTAGACTTTTTATATCCACTGTAGTATGTGTCCTTATGTATGTTTTTATGCTTTTTCCTCTATTTTCACCTGACCCTGTTTGTTCAATATGCTTTAACCTCCCTGGCGGTATGATTATTTCAGATTTTTGGTGCTGAAAGCGGTACCATTTTTTTGCATGGAAATATGTATTTTTTTTTATTGTAGGCTGTAATTTTTAGGAAAAACTCACTGAAATCTGTCCGAACAAGAGTCTAGTAAACATCCCGGGATAAAATTTGAAACACAAAATCATAAATTATAATTTAATAAATAATCATAAAAATAATATAAAAATAATAAAAAATTTAATTCAATAATATAATCAAACCAAAAACACTGAAATGTGAAATAGAGCGCCAAGTTCGCACATTGCTGAGCTCAGTCGCAAAATCGTTTTCAGTTTCTGATGACGAATTTCCCCCACGAATCATTATCACTCAATTCTGTAAGTGGTTCTGATTTTACTATCGCTGTTCTCTAGCTGATCTAAACCGCTTTTGACCTAAAGGGACACTTTTTGGACGCCATGGACATTTCTCAGTTTCCAGGCAGAAAGAACAGACAAAATGCAGGCAGGGCGCAGGACAAAGCACTAGGGACAATATGTATGTGAAATAGGTTGAAACAGCAATGTTTTACTGTGTAAAATGAAAAAAAAAAAAATGACATTTTTTAAAATTTTTAAATTTCCCGCCGCCGGCGGCGGCGGCGCCCGTACGTCCCGACGTCACAGGGACAGGACACAGAAGCCGGATGCCGGCATCGGCCGGAGGAGATGGCCGGGGACGCTGCAGGGGACACATCGTGGGAGCGCAGGGTAAGGTAAGTGAAGAACACATGCCGGAGCAGCGCCGCATGGTATTCCCGAGTGTAGCTCGGGGTTACCGCTTTTGGTACTGAAATGTTACCCCGAGCTACACTCGGGAATACCGCCAAGGAGGTTAAATGTTTTTTTCCTTGAGCTTGGTTTTGTGATTTTATTAAAGGGTTAAGAACTTGGATGGGGTCTAGGGGTATATGGGATGCCCGAGGAACTGCATAACTTGAGGACAAACTCCTTAGCAACTATGTACAAAAATGAGGATTAGCAACAGTCTTTCCTTGAAGAGCACCAAAGGCTCTTTGGTGTACCTCCTGAGACCTCAGATGATTCCCCCTCTTCACCCAGCTGCCTGAGGGTATCCATGGGCAAGGGGGCCCAAAAGTTGTTAATTTAGAACAGTCCCAGATGAGAAGCTAGTTGGGTCTTGCACCTGACTGCCCTCTCCCCTTATCCAGCTCAGGGGGTGTAAGAGTACTCACATTGTCCTCTTCTCTTAGCTTGGTAGGTTGGGGGCTGCCTTTAGGCCTTACACTGGGATGGCTCCTTCCCTGCTATACAGCCCATCTTCCCTGGGAGAACTTTGAGGCAGTGGAGATCCTCTTTTCCAGCAACCTGCCTGTAGGTAGGCTCCCCTTCCTGGGGCCCCTCCTAGGCTCTATACTTCAGCCTTCCTCCATCCATCTTCCACCAGACACTGCACACCTCCCTCCAGGCTCTGCATCATTTGAGGGTTGCCCTGGTAAACATGCTTAGCCTCCTGCTAGAGGATTGGCCAAGTTCCCTCAAACATGTAGATCTGGGCCTCCTTCCCTCCTCCAGAAAGCTCTCAGTTTTCTGGAATGGTGGGAGGGCTCCAGAGGCCCTGACATGTTAGAGCCTCCTAGCCTGTCCTGAGGTAACCTCACTTCCACACTCCCCAGGCTGCTACTTAGCCTTTATCTAACAAAAATTACATAATTAACCTGGACGGCATTACATATACAGTCTTGCTTATTGGAAGATAGAGAAGCCAGCAACAGCAATCGTAACCACGGAATGTATTGTGAACAATGATTTGTTGGTGATTGGCTGACTGTGTGGACAATGTCTAGGTGTTTACAACATGCCGTTTTTTTTTGTTTTTTTTTAACTTTCCATTTATTAGTAGCTTTAGATTTCTCACCTAATCATTATGTATATCCTAAAGCAATTTTCTGGAATTTTAATAAAATAATTTGCACACGTTTTACAAGCATTTTTAGTTAGTTTTTTTTTCTTCTAATTATATTTACTTTTCCATTTCAGTCAGTGATCTATTTAGTCAAATCAAAATTCTCTTTTTTTTCAAATAGTATTGGCAATATTCAGTTTTCAAACAGGATTTCCATTATCTTATCCACTGCCTATATAAGGACATACTGGGGGGGATTTACGTAAACTGGAGCATTCGGAATCTGGTGCAACTGTGCATGGTAGCCAATCAGCATCTAACTTCAGCTCTAACTTTGTTCAATTAAGCTTTGACAATAAAAACTGGAAGCTGATTTGTTTCTATGCACCAGATTTTGCACTTTCCAGTTTTAGTAAATACCCCTTTTGCATCTTTCAGAAGTCTGAAAACTGTCCTAAGCTTTGTTACAGTGCTAAATCATAGTTGTACTGATCATGTGATTGTAGTAAAGGAACACTTAGTACTCACTATAAAGGTTTTCAACAAGTGAATTGATATCACATATCCTGTAGCCAGGTTCTAGGCTATGATAAACAAGTTATGACAGTGTGCAGCAGCTCTTTACACTATCACTAAACAGATATTCTAATTCATCTCACTATCTGTCTCCTGGTAGCAGGGGGAGCCAGGAAGTCAAGGAACTCCATAGGCGTCTATGTTGGACGCAGTTGAATGTGGGAAATGAAGTTCCGTAAGGGAGTCATAATGTGATTATCTTTTGACCATTGAACTGCATTCCCTGAGGGAGATTTTCAGGAGGAGGGGAAAGAGCTGCATTTTCTCAGGCTGTACAGAACACAGCTTCCTCTTGCCATGAAGGAACTCAGGGAGTGCAGATTGCTGTCTGGTGTGCCATGCTACTGCTGCATATCAGCCCCCTGAGCAAGATCCAGAGTGCTGAGTTCAAGTGTGCTGACAGCCAGAGTCACCTGGGTGCAGAGCAGAGAGTGGACTGTGTGTGACCAGATGGTGAGCTACAATATTGCTGGGACTGGTGAGCTGCTGCTGTTGGGATTTACTATCTGCTAGGAACTGACCATACAGTAACCATACAGTCCTCTGGTATGCTTGCAGGCTTGACTGGGACTATTCTCATGTTCACCAAAGGTACAACTGGGCCCCAACACTAGCCAGCAGAAGAGCTAGAAATAAATACTGTCCCTTTACAGCTGCTGCACAAAGACCTTCACCTTTTGCTTTTGCTAAGTGGTACCTCTCAGTGAGCATTGGACCATATTCTAGCCACTCTTCTAGAGTGCACTAGTTATAGTATTCACATTGCTATTAATGCTTATGTGCACTGTTTATTGCTGAATTTGCTGTTTCATGAGTTAATCCCAGTCTAGTGGTACAGAATTGTATTCTAAGTTACCATGGCATATTGATTATACTGTCTATTGGACTGTGTCTGAACCTAGTTTCTGTGTTTTCATTTATACTCAAACTACCATTTCTTATTCCCCATATCAATACAATGAGTTCATTTACCACTAAACAGTCTTGTGTCTATTTCCTGGTGCTAATTCACAGCCAAGTTAAAGGTATCTACAGTATACTTGTGTTTTATAAGTGCTTGCAGTGACTTTCATTTAATCAGATGTATCAGAAAGACTGAGGTTGTTCTTGGAGTCAAGGTGCACAGCACAAAGATCCCAAATTATCAAGTGGCTCCTGTGAGGGAAACTCTACACTTGCAAAACAGAATCACATAAGGTTCTGTAAGAACGTTTTCTACCATGCTTGAAATATGTTTTTGTTATGTTAATTTAAAAAAGGAAATGAACTCTGGAGCTGTGCCCAAAAAAAGGCAGATGGAGGAGCAAATGACTAGTCGCCAGCATTGCCTGTGGTCTCCCTTCATCTGATCATGCCTTTCTGTGTCTCTGTGAGGTGACAACCAGCTTGGTAAAGGCGGGGTTTTGCTTCCTCATGTCAGTATCTCTATCAAGAGAGCAGCACAGTAGTGACATCACCAAGTCTCACGCCAAATCTCATGAGATGAGAACACAGCTGCAGCAGTGCCTTAGATCTCACACTGCAGATATACATCTATGAAGCTGCAGGTACCCCCTGCCTAGGCACCCCCACATATCAGGGGTGCATTTCTTTTATAGGAGGAATTTAAGACAAAGGGATGCATTTTCAGGTTCCTGCTTAAGAGCAATAGGCATTTATAAATGATCCCAGCAACATAGCAAATCGTAATTTTTTAATTCAGGTCCACTTTACTCTGACTTTAGTATTTATGCTAAGCCTTTTCTAAAGGTTATATTACCACTGTAGTTTTTATTTTTATTGTAATGTTTTTATAGCTTGAAATGCTTAAAATATTTATAAAACAGAGTGAGGACGGATGGCACCAAATCTATATTGATCTTTCCCATTGGGAAGGATACACATTTCCTAACAGTTTACTACCAGAGGTATTTGGGAGATATGGAATTAAGGTAGTAGAATGGACTTATAGAATCGTTTTAGCTTAACTCTGCTCTAGGCTTATCTACTGGGCCACATGTGCAAGCTGACAAAAATAGTTTAGTTTTGCATTCACATTAACAAAATGCCACACACTGCAAACTCCCCTGGGAAATATTGTGACTATGATCTCATAGGTGTCCTGATGTTCAGGTTCCGCACAGTGCTGGCAAATGTCACATACATAAATTGTTTTTGTTGTGAGTTTTCATTATACACTATTATACTGCTATTGCTATTATTATTATTATTATAGCATTTCAGAGCAACTAATTATATTTATTTATGGAAATAGATAGATAGATAGATAGATAGATAGATAGATAGATAGATAGATAGATAGATAGATAGATTTAGAGTTAACCACTTGAGCGCCAGCCTGTATTAGCCTTTCATTGCCAGGCTATTCTCCAGTTTTCAGTGCTTTAATACCTTGACTGGCAATTATTCCGTTGTGTAACACTGTACCCAAATACATTTTATATAATTTTCTTGAGACACATATTCTTTTGGTGGTATTAAATACCCACTGTTTTTTTTCAATTTTTACTATATAAAGGAAAAAAAACATGCTGGTATTGAGGGGATTCAAGAAAAAAATTCCAAGTATGGCATTTTATACATAGTTACATTTGCCCAGCTCCAGTGATCTGGTCTTGTGCCAAGTGGCTGCCCTACTGCATCCTGAACACAGGAACACGGCACGGGCACACGGGAGGTCGGCCTCTCGGCTCGGGCGCCATTCAGAAAATGTTTTTCAGTTTCTCAAAAAAGGGAAAGCATTCTCTAATTGGATGAGGTGGAGAGTCAGGACAGTGATGTCACACTCCTCACTTCACCCAATCACAAAAAAGTTTGCATTCATTCAGAAAATGCAAAGCATTCTCTGAATGGTATTTGTGCAGAATGGTTGACCTCCTGCATTCAAAATGTATCAGGGCAGCTGCTCAGCAAGGGACCCAGAAGCTAATGGAGATGACTGGAAAAGCAGTATTTACTTCAGTGATTCCCAGCTTCTAGCAGGATCCCACAGGTATGGAAAATGCATAGTTACACTGGACCAATGTAACTATGTATAAAATGCCATACCTGGAATTCATCTTTAAAGCATGGAGCAGGTAAATACACTGTGGGAGGAGATGAAGGGGTTAATGTACAGATGCAAAGGATAAGGGAAGTGAAGGGTCAATACAGGTCAGAGAAACAGGGTAGAGATCAGTAATGTAGGAGAAGGGGTAAAGGGGTCAAACTTTCTTTGCAGCTGCTACTGATGCTATGTGTAACACGGTTTGGGAACTAATGAATCTTTAGTTGCTGTTTCCTTCCCTCCTTCCATTATAAGAGGAATATGAGGGCTCACAGATGTAAAAACATACTGCTTACCTCATGTAATCACTGTGGTTGATGTTTCTATGACTAGTTACAGCAATCTAAAGGT